GCTCTGTCTCCCAGGCTGGAGTGCAGTGGCGCCATCTTGGCTCACTGCAACCTCTGCCTCCTAGATTCAAGCGATTCTCCTGCCTCAGCCTCCTGAGTAGCTGGGATTACAGGCACCCGCCACCACGCCTGGCTAATTTCTGTATTGTTAGTAGAGACGGGGTTTCCCCATGTTGGTCAGGCTGGTCTCGAACTCCTAATCTCAGGTGATCCACTCGCCTCAGCCTCCCAAAGTGCTGGGATGACAGTCTGCACCACGGCGCACAGCTGAGGGCTTTGTATTTTATGGAGACACAATCAGTTCATCAGTCCACACAGCTGTGCTGCTGGGAATCTGTGAAGGTTAAGAATTCCCCACTGCCTTTGTCTTCCAGAAAACGGGTTTTCTTGCAAAAAAAAAAACAAAAAACAATTCCCTTCCTCATGACTCACAGATGCTTCCAAGTCAACCTAGGACAAGGCTGGCCACATCCTCCAAATTCACATTCTTTATTTACCCCTTCAGGGATGGACTGAATTCCTCGTCTTCCTTGACCTTAACAAAATTCCCATCTAACATGATTACATTTTGGTTGGGTTTCTCTCCTTCCTATCAGGCCCCGGGATGTTGGGCCAGCCTCACCTGGAGCAAACATCAGAAGATCAAGCAACGCGTCCTTAGGACCTGCTCAAAATTGGCGATGCAGCCACAGGGTTTAGCAGCTTCTATCCACGACTGAACCCCATATCGAATGACCCCAATCACGGTTGCTCCGAGCATCACGTGCCTGTCCCTAGAAAACTGTATGATGCCTGCCCTCAAAAAGGCCCCCAGATGTCACAGCTAGGGTGTGCTTCATGGTGCTATAGGCAACGTCCACCAGTGGTTGCATTAGTACCACCTCTTCCCATTATCATAGTCCCTCCTCCATTACCATACTCCCTCCTTCCGTTACCATAGTCCCCCCTCCTCCGTTACCATAGTCCCGCCTCCCTTACCATACTCCCTCCTCCCACTACCATTGTTCCTCCTCCATTACCATAGTCCCCCGCCTCCCGTTACCATAGACCCTCCTTCCATTACCATAGTTCCCCCCCTTCCATTACCATAGACCCTCCTTCCATTACCATAGTTCCCCCCTCCTTCCATTACCATAGACCCTCCTTCTGTTACCATAGACCCCTCCTCCCATTACCACAGTCCCTCCTCCTCCCATTACCATAGACCCTCCTTCCGTTACCACAGTCCCTCTTCCCGTTACCACAGACCCTCCTCTCGTTATCATAGTCCTCCTCCGTTACCATAGTCCCTCCTCCTTCCGTTACCACAGACCCTCCTCTCGTTATCATAGTCCTCCTCCGTTACCATAGACCGTCCTTCCATTACCATAGACCGTCCTTCCATTACCATAGACCGTCCTTCCATTACCATAGACCGTCCTTCCCTTATCATAGTCCCCCCTCCTCCTCCCATTACAGTAGTCCCGCCTCCTCTTATTGTAAAAGCTCCCACCTGTGGGAATGATCTTTTCAGATGAAACTGTTGCTACCTGTGTGTGTATCTGGCGTCTCTATCACCACCGTGGGACATCCCTGCAAGGTATACCTCATTGCTACAGAGTAGCACTCTCTGCAGGAAAGTCCACATGTGCCCTGCCCCAGGCAACTGTGCTGTCCAGAGCTGGACACTGGGCACTCGCCAGGCAGTTAATGCAACGAGGCACTGAGTTTTTCTTTTCCCTTAATTATCACTCATTTAATTTTCACGCATCCCACGTGACTCCCGACCCCTGTTCTGGGCACCATCATCGGAGAAATTTTCTCGAGGCTCGGGTTTCTTCTTTCTTTGCTACAAACTCCCAGGGCTACTGACTAAGGTGAAAAAAAACCCGCTGTTACATAATCCATTATACAGTCAACGTATCTTTACCCGAACCAGAAAAATTCACAATTTTAACGGTGAATCGGGTCGGGAAACATATGTTTCTAGTTTTGAGACGAAATACATGACTGATAAAACCCTTCTGTAACGTCCAAGGGAACCAGAGTGGATCGAGTTTTGCTATCGATCTCCAAGACGCACCCCACAGCTCCACGACTGACAGCGTGAGTGTGTCTATCACAGGAACCGCTGGGGGAAGGCAGGTACTTGTGTCAGATTGGAGCCGAATCACAAAGCAAGCAGCAATTCCAGGATCCCGCTGAGTATAAAAACCCAGAACAAGAGCAAACTTAAGCAGCGAAGCCCCACAGACCCCTGGAGCGTCCAGCATGTTGGAGTTTTAGGTTTGGAAGGGAGGGGTTGGTATTTTTCTGTTTTCGAGACGGAGTTTTCCTCTTGTTGCCCAGGCTGGAGTGCAATGGCACAACCTTGCTCACTGCAAGCTCCGCCTCCCGGGTGCAAGCAATTCTCCCGCCTCAGCCTCCTGAGTGGCTGGGATGACAGGCACCTGCCACCACGCCCGGCTAATTTTTGTATTTTTAGTACAGACGGCGTTTCTCCATGTTGGCCAGGCTGGTCTCGAATCCCTGACCTCAGGTGATCCGCCCGCCTCGGCCTCCCAAAGTGCTGGGATGACAGGTGCGACCCACCGCGCCCGGCTTGGGGGGGAATGGCGGGGAGGGTTAGTAGTTCTCGTGGCTCATAAACCGCGGCTTTCTTTTCCATCTGTATTAGTTCATTCTCACGCTGCTGATAGAGACATGCCCGAGACTGGGTAATTGGTAAAGAAAAAGGGGTTTTGTGGACTCACAGCGTCTCGTGGTTGGCGAAGGCCTCACAATCAGAGCGGAACACACCAGCCATATCTCACCTGGCGGCAGGCAAACGCGCTCGTGCCCCGGAACTTCCTTTTATAGCCGATCTCGTGAGACCACACTGACTATCGCGAGAACAGTACGCGGCTCACCGCTCCCATGATGCCATTTCCTCCGCCGGGCCCCGCCCGTCACAGGTGGGGATTCCATTACAATTGGAGGCGCGATCTGGGTGGGGACGCAGCCGGCCCACCGTTACAGACAATGGTGCAAGTTTGCCAGAATCCTCACACCCTTGTCGAAGGAGACCTTTCGGATCGCAGAGGGAAGCTAGGCCGTGTTCTGAAGCGAGGCTGGAATTTCAAAACCAGCTATTCCACGAAAACACATGCCCAGATATTTCCTCTGGGGCCTCTGTTCTCCCCACGGCAGGCGTAGGGGATCTCCAGACCCCCAGCTGTAATGCCTTTCCAAGCAGGAAGCCCTCTGCATCCCATGGAAACCACGGCTGCTCCAAAGAAGAGCTGAGGGGTTGCAGTGCCGCTGAACCCAGGCACCCTGGAGTTCTTAATCATCAGGTTGGAGAAAAGGGGAAGGGGTTGTATCTGGAGGTGAAGCTTTCAGGGCTGACCTGCTTCAAGGGCCTGTGATACTTCAAGGGCCCCTGCGTACCTGACACGGTGCGGACAGGTCGCAACCACATAGAGTTTGCAAGCCAACAGGAAACCTAGGCAGGCTTCCTGGAGGAGGCATCATCTGGCCAGGAAATGGAGGTGGGATGTTGACAGCAGGCGATGGTGAGAAAGGAGCCCAGGAGGAGGGTTATCAAAAATAGGGCACACAGGTGAGAAAGTGCGGGAAGAAGAAGCCACAGGAAGGAAGAAAAATGGTCCATGATACTGTGACGTAAAGTAAATTCCTGTAACATCTTAGCATAGCGAGTTTGACAAAGAGTCGTGCATGGAGGGAGGACAAAAAAGACCGCTGCACCTGCACACCTGCCCTCTACTCACCTCTCCAGCGCAGGCAATGGCCTGCCAACCCCGTGTGATTAGTATTGTTGTAAAGAAATGGAGTCTCACTATGTTGCCCAGGCTGACCTCAAACTCCTGGGCTCATATGATCCTTCTGTCTCAGCCTCCAGAATCGCTGGGATTACATGGGCATGCCACCGTGCCTGGCTGATTTGGATTCTTGACAGAAGAGTTGGCTCTCAAATACCAACATGTGGTTCTGTTTCAAAACCAACAAAGACTTCTCAAAACAGACCACAGCAAGACCAGGCTCAGGGCTGTAATCCCAGCACTTTGGGAGGCCATGGTGGGAAAATCCCTTGAGCTCAGGAGTTCAAGACCACCCGGGGCAACAGAGTGAGACCCCATGCAAAAAATAAAAATAGCTGGGTGAGCGGCTGGGCACAGTGACTCACGCCTGTAATCCCAGCACTCTGGGAGGCCGAGGCGGGCAGATCACCTGAGGTCGAGAGTTCGAGGCCAGCCTGACCAACATGCAGAAACCCTGTCTCTACTAAAAATACAAAAATTACCCGGGCATGTTGGTACATGCCTATAATCCCAGCTACTTGGCAGGCTGAGGCAGAAGAATTGCTGGAACCTGACAGGCAGAGGTTGCAGTGAGCCGAGATCATGCCATTGCACTCCAGCCCGGGTGACAACAGTGAGACTCCATCTCAAAAAAAAAACAACAAAAAATGAAAAACAAAGGCTTCTCAAGACAGACCACAGTGAGGCCAGGCTCAGGCCTATAATCCCAGCACTTTGGGAAGCCGTGGTGGAAGGATCCCTTGAGCCCTGGAGTTCAAGACCACCCAGGGCAACATAGTGAGACCCTGTCTCGATAAAAAATAAAAATAGCTGGGCGTTGGTGGCATGTATGTGGAGTCTCAGCTATTTGGGAGGCTGAGGTGGGAGGATCGCTTGAGTCCAAGAGGTGGAGGCTGCAGTGAGCCACCTAGTACCACTACACTCCAGCCTGGGCAACAGGGTGAGAACCAGACTCTTAAAAACACCGTAAATAAACAAAAATGAAAATAAACCATCCTGCATTCTTCAGACAACGCTGTGACTACATGGCAAGCTGGCCACCCTGTCATGGAAGGCTGGAGCCCATCTCAAAGGGAATTTCTGGAGTGCAGGAAGCAGCCACAGCCGGTGGGAATACTCAGCAGGTGCGTTCTCAGATCTCCAGCGGGTAATGATTGCACAGCACACAGAGAGTGAGCTTCCGTTAATAAGTGAAAGTACGGTAGGCACACTGCGGCTGTGAAATGTGTTTCGTTCTCGGGTATCACGGACACAGCATTGAGAAACTAAACCTTTTTCTTCTTGCAGAAAAGGCTGCGTTTGTCATCCCTGTCTCCTCCCTTCCTCTTGCAGTTTCTGTGTAGCTGGGCACATGCCGTGTGGATCCCCGTTTTCTTCCTCCTAGGGGAAAATCCTCAGCGTGTTGTTTTGGTTTCCTTGTGTGTTTGCTTCTTGCTTTGTTATTCTCTCTCGAGTCAGCAAGAGAATGGCTCGGTGGGTGGGTGGGTAGGTTGGTTGGTTGGTTGGTTGGTTGGTTGGTTGGTTGGTTTGTTTTTGAGACAGTCTCACTCTGTCGCCAGGCTGGAGGGCAGTGGTGTGATCTCGGCTCACTGCAACCTAGGTTCAAGTGATTCTCCTGCGTCAGCCTCCCAAGTAGCTGGGACTGCAGGCACATGCCCCCACACCTGGCTAATTTTTGAATTTTTAGTAGAGATGGGTTTTCACCATGTTGGCCAGGCGGGTTTCACCACGTTGGCCAGGCTGGTCTCAATCTCCTGACCTCGTGATCCACCTACCTCGGCCTCCCAAAGTGCTGGAATGACAGGCTGGAGCCACTGCGCCTGGCTGGCTCTGTGGGTTTTAGCAGTGTCCCAGCATTCCCCAGACATAAAATGTGCCTCTCTGTGATTTTTACTAACTCGCCTGAAGTCACCAATGTTGTTGCCATATTTTCATCAACACAGGAAGAAAAGGGGCAATTTTCCTAGGGGCTCTTGTTGCGGTAGAAGAGCAACTTCCCGCTGCCTGCATTGCAGGTGCCTTGGATTCGGGGGAAAGGTGACTTGGCGACTGCAAGGAAGTCTTTCTTCGCTAAATCTAAATTCTACAGGGTCACCGGGGCCCATTGCAGCACAGATCTGAGGCACTGAAGATTGCAGGAGTGCATGCGTGCGTGCGTGTGCGCGCATGTGTGTGTGTCTGTGTGCGCATGTATGTCTACATTTGTCATAAACGAAAATACAAAAGGGAAATGTCAGAAAGCAACCAGCAAAGGAAGCCAGCATTATTGGCAACGGTGGTGTCTGTTATCCAGAGAGGATGGCATCGTCTTTCAGGTGGCCATGAAGAAAGGCTTCAAATGACATTCCCAGAACAAGCACCTGGAGATCTCACATCCACTCTGATTCTGCCCCTAGCCTTGGGTGTCGTGGGTTTAACTGGGACCTCACCAAGATGTGTCCACCCGGAACCTAGGAATGAAAGCTCATTTGGATATCGGATCTTTGCAGATATCATTGCCTAAGATGAGGTTGCATTAGAGTAGTGTAAGCCATTAATTGAATAACTGGTGTCCTTATAAGAAGAGGAACATTGGCAGCCGGGTACAGTGGCTCACGCCTGTCATCCCAGCACTTTGGGAGCCCGAGGCATCTGGATCCTGAGGTCAGGAGATCGAGACCATCCTGCCCAACATGGTGAAACCCCCTGTCTCTACCAAAAATACAAAAATTAGCCAGGCGTGGTGGTGCATGCCTGTAGTCCCAGCTACTCAGGAGGCTGAGGCAAGAGAATCACTTGAACCTGGGAGGTAGAGGTTGCGGTGAACCGAGATCGCACCACTGCACTCCAGCCTGGGCGACGAGCAAAAACTCCATCTCAAAAAAAAAAAAAGAAGAAGAAGAGGAACATTGGGACACAGAGACACAGAGATGGCCATCTCTGTATTGGCAGAGGTGGCAGTGACAAAGGCAGATACTGTATTGACTGACGCTTCTACATCAGCCGTCCCCAGCCTTTCTGGCACAGGGACTAGTTTCATGGAAGACAATTTTTCCACACACAGAAAAAAACTGTCTTCATAGAAAGACAGGCACTGTGGGTATAGGGGGAAGGATCTGGGTATGATTTGGGTATATGACATTTATTGTGCACTTTATTTTTATTATGATTACATTAAATGAAATAACTCTACAACTCACTGTCATGTAGAATCAGTGGGAGCCCTGAGCTTGTTTTCCTGCAACCAGATGGTCCCATCCTGGGGATGACGGGAGACAGTGACAGATCATCAGGCATTAGATTCTCATAAGAAGCACGCAACCCAGATCCCTGGCATGCCCAGTTCCCAACAGGGTTCTCAACCCTCTGAGAATCTGATGCCACCGCTGATCTGACGGGAGGCAGAGCTCAGGTGGTAATGCGTGCAATGGGAAGTGGCTGTAAACACCCATGAAGCTTTGCTCGGTACCAGTCCACAGCCAGGGGGGTTGGAGTCCTCTGTTCTACAGGACAGGAAACAACCAGGATTGCTACCAAGCCAAGGAAGTCAGAGGAGACAGCAGGGGATCCTCCTCTAGAGCCTCCGCAAGGGGCACAGCCCTGCCTTCATATCCAAGGACAAAATGCATTTCATAATCGCAGTGTGCACAAAATACTTTTTCTTTTTTTTTTTTTTGAGACAGAGTCTTGCTCTGTCGCTAGGGTGGAGTGTGGTGGCGTGATCTCATCTCATTGCAACCTCCAGTTCCCGGGTTCAAGCGATTCTCCTGCCTTAGCCTCCCGAGTAGCTGGGATTACAGGTGCGTGCCACCAGGCCTGGCTAATTTTTTCTATTTTTAGTAGAGATGGGGTTTCACCATGTTGGCCAGGATGGTCTCAATCTCTTGACCTCGTGATCCACCCGCCTCGGCCTCCCAAAGTGCTGGGATTACAGGCGTGAGCCACCAGGCCCGGCCGCATGCACACAGTACTTTAACTTATTAAATGCTTATTCTCTGAGTCTGGTGCAAGAGTGACCTGCTGGAGATTTGGGAATGTACTTAGTGACTGGAAGGCTGTATTTCCACCTGGATGTGTTGGCTTTCTGCACTTTTGACACGAGCTCCATCCTTGGATGACCAGGTGGTCAGCCTGCCTTGGCTGTGGACTTCTGGTGTCCAGAGCTGTCAGAGATTTGACTTCTGTTGCCTTCAGCCAGCGGGTTTATAAAATTGTGTTGCAGCAGCTCCGAGAAGCTAAAATATTGAGCCTCGCCTATTATCATGGACCCTTGAACAACACAGGCTTGAACTGAATGGTCGTCCACTTGTATGTGGATTTTCTTCTGCCTCCATCACCCGAGACACCCCCTCCTGTTCCTCCTCCTCCTCAGCCTCCTCAACGTCAAGACGACAAGGATGAAGACCTTTCTCATAAGCCAGTTCCGCTTGATGAACAGTAAAGATATTTTCTCATCCTTACGATTTTCTTAAGAAAAATCATAGCTTACTTGATTGTAAGAATATAATATATAATAGACACTATATATTTTTTCTCTTCTTTACTTTTTTTTTTTTTTTTTTTGCTGCTTTGTTTTCTTTTTTATTTATTTCT